TTTTTTAAATAGTTTTCTCTTCTAACCACAGTGAGGCTTTGTAATAGAAAGATAGGATGGACATCTTGATAGTTCTGGCATGGTTTATAATTTTAGCATCAGTTTCTTTTAAAGCTGTCCTTTCTTGAAACATCTGGGCAGTGATGGGTTCTCTCTTCCTGAATCTTACTCTTTTGTCCTCTGAACTGAAGAGTTTATAGTTGGAAGAACTGGGCAAAAAAAAGTAAGTTGGATAGAAAAGGAGTGCTCACCAACTCAAAATCAACAGCCCTTGTATTAAAACATATTCTTGTTACTATGATTACTGACAATTTTAAACATCCCTGTTTTAGAACCGCAAGCAGGACTGAAGTTAAGTTTGTGTGATTTTTCATCGCAGTGGAATAAACTGGAAATTTGGAAAAGTTATGGTTGTAGGAAAAGATGCAGATAAAATGCCTTTTATCACTGCAGAGTGAATGACTGAAGTAACCAGGAATTCTTGCAGACCTGTATGGAAATGGACAAGTCAGAAGATAAAATACTGCTGGCAGCAGGGGGTATAGTTCACTTTACAAATCCAAGAAATTATTTAAGCAGTTATTATTCTTGTGTATTTAGACTTTGTATAGGAATAATTGAACTGTCAAATAGGTCTTGCAGTGACATTTCTCCAAAGTTACTGTATTACACTTCAGTATTGATGCCCCAGTTATGATTTAAGAAACAACAACAACAAAAGACCTATTCACTTTTTGAATTATCAAGCTAGTTTAAGACATGGAGTAGAAAGGCAATGGTAAAATGTGTTTCCCAGTATTCTTTGTGTAACTTTTCAGTTACAAGTTGCTTTAATACACTTGAATATAGTCACACTGGGAGAGATCCTCACCTTGTATAAGGTAAAATTGTTGTATTGGAATCAGTGGTGTTTTTTCTTTATACCAGCTCACTTATATTTCTTTCAGTAAAATGTTTTTAAAACTCTAATCAGTGTGTGGTTATAGTTTCAGGTGTTTAATAGCAGTACTGTTTTTTGTTTTCAACTGTCACAGGCTTAACGACTCACTATAGTATAAAGTAAATAATATACATTCTAAGCCAGGGAACCTCTTTGTTCAGAGCGTGCTCTTGCAGTGTAGCAATTTGCATTTTAATTAATAATCCATTTTAATGTCATACATACAACCATTTGTAGTCCTTAAACATGGATGGCTTCTGCTATGATAGATAGACAGGCTTGTCTCATGTTCTGAGAGACCTTGGTGTTCCAGCAGGACTTTAGCTTTTTGACATCTTTATATTTGATTAAAATACAGCAACATCGTTGGAGTAGTAGTTGTGTTAAAGTGTCTAAACCATAATTTTCCACCTTTTTTTGTACATAAGGAGTGAATAACTGGCAAACTGTGAGGCTTCATAAACATAGTAATGCTTTCACTGTATTTTTTTTTTTAATAAAGTTAGTTCATTTTCTGTGGTCTTCATAGGTGAAAATAATAAATCAGCCTGAAATATTGATAGCCGCATAAAAGTATTTATTTTCTTACTGAAATCTTGCTACTTTAATTGAAATGTGAAATGCAAGTGTTATGCTACAGATTTACTTTGCATTATGTGCCAGAATTCACTGGCAGTAATCAACAGACATTTAATACAGAGCTACTGTAGAGTACCATAAGAATATACACACATAATTTAAATGAACATCAAACTTTGGCATAAATGAAAAGAAAAAAAAGGTTCTTACATTGCTCAGACAAAACAAACAGACATATTCTTCCATCTTATAACAACTAACATGTCAAAATAGATAGGTTGTTGAGGAAACGTGTCTTCCTTTAATAGATGAAGTGGAATTAAAACACCTGCAAATTACTGCTGTGGGTATGCTGAGAAGACAGGCTGCAAGGCTGTCATTCCCAGAAGTACAACTTTTTCTGGTGATATTTTGGGGAATTGGAGATAAAAGTGTCAGTGCCCAGAGAGGTGTGGAGAGAGGTGGGTGAGATACTCAGCCTGCTCTTCAGTTTTGGTATGCTATAGAAGTTTTGCTTGTTTTTTCCTCCTAACACAGAGAGAATTTTTTTTTCTTTTTTTTTTTTTTCTTTTTTTAATGTGTAAAGCTTTAGTCTTTGGGAAGCTGTTTTTAACCTTTTGTTTGTTTTGCTTTATGACACAGCAAGCAAATCGATGTTTGATAGTAATGCACACGTTATAAATATCACTGTTCTTGGTGGTTGATGTATTTTTAGTATGAAATATTGACTGCCCAGTGTTTGCCCAGTTTATGAGTATGCAGATGTGTCTGTCTATCCGTGAGAACACAGGAGATGCAGAGTTTACCAGTTTTTATTAGTCTGGTGAAGAGCTTGTTTCAGTGGCATAACACACAGCAAATATTAAAAAACTACTGATAGGAACTCCAAGA